GAATCAGCAAAGATCCCTAAACATTTGCAAGGTTGTGTAATCCAGATATCAAAATCAGACAGATTTTGATTGAACAAATGAGAAGCAAAATTATCAATAAATCACTTAGTAAATATATATACAAATGTTCTAAAAATGTTAGTAAGCAAATACAGAAAACATATCATGACCAAGTAGGGATTATTCCAGGAATATATGCATTTTTTAACATTTTGAAGTGAAAGCCTTATATATACCTCAAAAAATGATTCAACATCTGTTTATGACAAAACCTCTCAGCAAAGAAGAGAAGTGATCTTCCTTAACCTGATAAAGAGAATTTCCCCAAAACCTACAGAAACATCTTTTTTAAAAAATAAGAAAATCATGGAAACATTCCTTTCAAAGTGAAGAACACAAGGTAAGGACCAAGGGATGCTGCTTTCACTGCTTCCCTTCTACAGTGCACTGGCAGTCCTAGACAAGACGATGAGAGCAACAACTAAAAGTTAAAAAGATTTGAAAGGAATAAACAAAACTATCTGGTTTTGGTAAGTAATTGTCTATAGTAAAATTAAAAATAAAAACCCTATAGATTAACTATTAGAACATATAGGATATTAACAAGAAGGCTCATTATAAAACCAAGATATAAAATTAGATAACATGCTTATACACAATGTAATAAGTTATAGATGTTATATTTTGTTAACATAGCAGAGAAACCCTAAAAGTAAATTTAGTAATAGTTGTATAGACCTTTTATGAAGAAAAATATAAAACAATTAAAAGAAATAAAAGCAATGGGAATAAATTGAGAGACATACCATATTCATGGATAGAAGACTCAATGTAATTTCCTCAAATGGGTCCATTAATTTAATGTAATCCTAATGAAATCCTGAACTGTCCTTTCATGATAGCTGACAAACTAATATAGAAGGTCATATGAAAATAATGGTCCATTAATACCCCACAAATTGAATAATAATTATATGACGATGATGTTGATGCTAATAGAGGCCCCACTATTTCAGTTATTATAAAGTTATGTTAATTCAAACAGTATGGCACTGGTTAAAGTGAAATGCAATAGTAAGGTGAAAAACAAAACAAAACAAACAAAAAATAATAAATTAGATCTCTTTATATGACAGCAGCTTCATTAATACTTCATGAAGAAAAATATTACTATTCAATAAATTATGTGAGAAAAACTGACTATCCATAAAGCAGAGGTAAAATTTAATGCCTAATTCACAAGATATTTTGGCTGTATGAAAGGCAAAATTTTGAAAATTTGGCTTTAAAATACTTGAGGAACATTTTTATGACATCAAAATAAGTAAGTGTTTCCTAAACAAAACTAAATGAAACAGAGATTAAGAACCCCTGAAAAAACTCAAGAAAAATATCGTTTTACCATATTAATATTTTAAAACATAATCAATCAGTCGAGAAAATATAAACCACAGACTGAAAAAGTATTTATAAGACATATTATTAATGAGGAAATAATATTCAAAATAAACAAACCCCACAATAATACCCCAAATGATAAACAACTCAAAGGAAAGTGGCCAAAGAATATGAAGAAGAGACTTGAATTATGAATATACATATGAAAAATTGCTGAATCTCATTACTAACGAAGGAAATGCAAATTAAAGCAACAATGAAAGTCTGATACCCGTTGGATTGCCAAAATTTAAAAAGTCTGAGGAGCAGCTTCCCATACCTAATAAAGTTGAAGGCCCACATATTTTATAATCCAGAAATTCTACTTCTAGTTATCTATTTGGAAAAAATATGACCCATGCACAAGAAATATAAAACATTTCATACTGTAATGTTCAAAATGTAAAAACAACCTCATTAACTCTCAGTAATAGAACTGGAAAATAAACTGAAGGTGATGCTACAACCAAATACTATTTAGCAGTTAAGATGAATAATCTAAATCTGCATTTACTTTCTATTTACTTCCATTGTAAAACATATAATGTCGAGTCGAAAAAAAAGAGGTGGTACAATTTGTGTAAAACGTCAAAGTCTATAAAATAATAGAATATGTTTATGACTATGTGCCTATACCTATGTCTACCTATAACTGTATCTATCTACCTAACTTACCTACCTGCCTAACACCTATCAATCTCTCAATATATCTATATAACAAAAATCTTAAAAATGTTAGCATTAACCTCAAGATAGGAAGGAAATCCGTGAGAATGCACTTATTTGGTTATTGGCAAAGCGTATCTATGAACAAAATATAGTATTAGAACATGTTAAAACTAGATATAGATCATCATTGTATTATTTTCTATTTGTTTATATATATAAAGAACATCTCATAATAAAATAAATGGAGTTTTAGAGTGAGAGATATTGTATTGTTCAGATAAAAATGTTATCTATATGAAGACCTGGATGTGAGTCCTCGTTCTGCCCCATGTGCTTCATTCAATAAGTAAAGATAATAGAACCTTTTTGACTTGGTGGTTTCAAGAATCAGTGAGATACAATGAGAGTTAGTGTATGCCTGTGCAAATGGCTATTATAAATTGTAAGGCACCATATTAACATAAGTTAATATTCCAAGCAGTATATTGCACATTCGTATATATTGTATAGTTTTCTCACTGCTGAGTTAGGAAAAAAATGTAGCATTTCAATCTTAGAAAACCAGAGAAGATTCTTCAGCCATATCTAACTCACAAATAACCTGGAAAGAGGGGCTAGCCCAGTAGCGTAGTGGTTAAATTCATGCACTCCGCTTTGGCAGCCCAGGGTTTACCGGTTTGGATCCTGGGCATGGACCTTCATACCGTTTATCAAGCCATGCTGTGACATGCATCCCACAAAAAAAGTACAGGGAGATGGGCACGGCTGTTAGCTCAGGGTCAATCTTCCTCAGCAAAAAAAGGAAGATCGACAGCAGATGTTAGCTCAGGGCTAATCTTCCTCAATAAATAAATTATAACTTGGAAAGATAAAAAAACTATAAAGTAATGACTTTCTTGTCTACAGTTCACTTATCTGGACTTTTTGGAACAAACCTAGAGCAGGGAATTAAACAAACGTGAGACCAGCTATGTGACATTCTGGAAAAGGCAAAACTATGGAAACATTTAAAACATCAGTGGTTCCTAGGGGCTCAACAGGGAGAGAGAGAGGAAAGGATAAATAGGTGGAGCACGGGAGATTTTTAGGGCAACGAAACTTTTCTGTATGATGCTATAATGGTGGATTCATGCTATTATGCATTTCTCAAAACCTATTGAGTGTACAACACAAAGAGTAAACCCTAATGTAAACTATGGACTTGAGTTAATAATAATATGTTAATATTGGCTCAGCCAGCCCTGATGATCTAGTGGTTAAGATTCGGTGCTCTCACCACTGTGGCCAAAGTTCAATTCCCACTCAGGGAACCACTCCCTCCAGTCTGTCAGTTGTCATAATGTGGCAACTGCGTGTTGCTGTGATGCTGAAAGTGATACCACTGGTACGTCAAATACCAGCAGGGTCACCCATGGTAGACAGGTTTCAGCAGAGCTTCCAGAATAAGACAGACTAGGAAGAAGGACCTGGCCACTCACTTCTGAAAAAATTGTCCGTGAAAACCCTATGAAAGTAGTGCAGCATTGTCTGATATGGCACTGAAGGTGAGCGGGTAGCGCAAAAAGACCAGGCAGGGTCTTGCTCTGCTGTACACAGCGTTGCTAGAGGTCAGAATTGCCTGGATGGCCAAAAAAAATGAAAAAGTATTGGCTCATCAATGGTAACAAATGTTGATCACACTAATGCAGGATGCTAATAATAAGTGCAGGGGAAAGACAGGGTATGTGGGAACTCTGTACTTTCTGCTCAATTTTGCCAGCAATCTGAAACTAGTTTAAAAAACAAAGTATATTAATTTGAAACAAACAAAAATGCACAGCACCTATGCATTAGAACCGCAAGACCCAGACTCTAAGCAGATTTCCTTTTCCCACACGTGAGGCTCTCAGGCATTCTCTCAGGACTTCTTTACTCTTATTTTAGTTATAATTTTAACAGATTCAGTATAGTGATTTTTCAATTAAACTGTTAGTAGGGTACATTTAAGGAAAGAAGTAACTTATTTGTCATAATAATTTTCATCCAGCAATAAGAAGTGACATTTGAAGGCCTGTTAGTGTAGCATGTATAGCTACTTTCTATTTGCCACTCCTCTCCCCAAAGGTACCACTTGGCTGCCCTTGAACTTCCCCTAGAAACCCCCCCAGACTTCCCAGGATCCATCAAATACAGGATTAACACATGTCACCACCAAAAACCTTTAAAGACCACTGCAAGTCTGTGACTGGAGTCCCTCCTGATTGTTGTCATTACCTTATTTGTTGTCAAAACTTCTGAATATCTGGCATGAATGGAAGAAATCAGAGAGGCAGAGTAATTGGTGGAGATTTAGAATAGAGCTGAGACACCTACAAATACAGGTGGAAATGAAGACTCTAATATTTGAAAATATGTATCACTTTAAGAATCTTTATTCTTTACAGTTTTCAGAGTAATAATATAGTAGTGAGTCACACAGGAAATGTTATCTTCCACATATTCTTTTCTTGAAGCTAGAAAAGTACTTAAAGTTCTTTGGATATATTTTTATCTGATCTTTTTTTCCTTTTTTAAATATGAGTTGCCCACATCTCCCCGACGTCTTCTGTTTGATCTCATGTTGAACCGTGTTGTGGCTCCAAATATGAAGTTTAGAATTGCTTATTTATGGCTCTGCAGTGCTATCAGGCTAACAATTGTATCTTAGTCATCACTGCAAACAAGAATCTACAAATAGAGTCTACACAAAGTATTGAATAATTATTTGTCAAAAAAGTGTAACTTTGGTTATCTAGAAAAATTCAATTATTTGAAATTCTTTTGCTTATGATATTGGATAAATAAATTTGAATGTTTTAAGAAAAGACATACAAGATATAGAGAAATGAACATCTTTTAAAATTGTTTTTTTTCAGAAGAAAGAATTGTCAACATGCAAGTTCAGACAGTTACAAAATTCAAAACAGTTACTAACGTTGTTGGATATTTAAAGGGCTTGACTTCTCCAGGTAAGTAGGGTTAAGTATTTATAATCTACACTTTATATGAAACATCACAAAGAAATGCTCTATAATAATTTAGTAGCATAGTTAAATATCCTACTTTAGAAGTAACGCAAAGTTTATACCACTCGAAGAGTGAATAAAAATGAAACCAAGAAGTAGGTCTTTATTCTCTTTCTTCCCATATCTCTTCAAAAGTAAATCATAGCAGAGACTATAAGAGGGGAAAGAAACCAAAAATGGAGAACACAGAGTTTAGATTTGTTAAACTGTAATGTGCCTGGTGAAGAAAAGCTACAAAAGCCAATGTTTTCTTTTATTCACTATAATGCCATTGAAGTTTTTATTTTTGTCAAGGAAAGGATTTCAAAAAAGAAAATATTCTCGTTTTAATGGTGTTTTTTAAAAAATAAAAGCTTTTGTCTCCAAATCTAATCTTTTAATGTTAATCTATGTTCCATCTCTGACCCTTGGTGCACTGACAATTCTGCCTAGCATTTGTATGGCTTTAGGTTTTGAAGGTGCTTATGAAAATGATCACCTGGTTAAATTCTAAATAATTTGGTGCCTTGTTATAGGATGCTGACGGGATCTTCATACAATATTATACAGGCTAAAAAAGTAAAAATAACTGACATATATATTAAGAAATTAATAGCAACCCTTCCAAATACACCATGAAGTTGAATCACATATTACCATCTGATGTGTTTGTCATACAATGTAGAGTGCAATACTATTTTTAGTACACTTGTGCCACTTCTGTTGATTTGGTTGGGGCATTTATTCAAGTTCTCCTTGGAGAATTATTCTTCTCCATGACTTTAGTCAAATTGATCCCACAATTGCTATCCCAGAGAATGTTGAGATCCGGTTTTGCATTCACCCAATTTCTTGCAAGCCAACACTTAGAAAATTCGTGGGAAGTATGTATTCTCTCTGATTTCCTTACAGTAGCAATGTTGAACAATCTCTGATCATCATAAAGATATAAATGTATTTGAAAATTGTTGCTGTTGCATTTCAACCATTTCGACAAATTTCCATCATAAGGATCTATAATTTAAGCACTAGAAATATTTATCATCATTGCTGTATTTGGAAGTCATTACTGAAAAACCAAATTGTACACTATTATAATAGCTTTAGGGTAAAAGAGCTTCCTGTATTGAAATTCAATATGAAAAAAAAAACCAGTTTTTTTTTCCCCCGAAGATTGGCACCTGGGCTAACAACTGTTGCCAATCTCTTTTTTTTTTTTTTCTGCTTTATCTCCCCACACCCCACCCCCCTGCCCTGTACACAGTTGTATATCTTAGTTGCATGTCCTTCTAGTTGTGGGATGTGGGACGCCACCTCAACGTTGCCTGACGAGTGGTGCCATGTCCGCGCCCAGGATCTGAACCCAGGGCCACCTCAGCTGAGCGTGTGAGCTTAACCACTTGGCCACGGAGCTGGCCCCCAAAACCCAGTTTTTTAAAATCAATTTGCTTCTTAACTCTTGTTTATTTGAATTCTACACAAAAATATTGGCTGTTCATTCACATAATTTTCTTATTTAATGACTCTGAAGATTAGAAACAATCATCAATTAGTATGAAGGTTTTTAGCTATGATTTATTTAGAATATAGACAATTCCAAACAGAAGTTTCACACGTATCTGAGAGATGAATGAATAAATTCCTAGGGTTTCAACATTTATAGACACACTATGTACACCATTAGTGAAATTTTGCTAAAATGTTGACAGATCAAATTCATTGCTGTTTCCAATATCCGTATGGAAAACTCAAATAGCTTCACACAGTGATGTTTCCCATAAAGTAGCTTTTTGATGCTATGAATTCAGGGGGTGATTAATTTATTCCACACGTGTAGTACTTATTATGTGTCAGGCACTGTTCAAAGTGCCTCACAAATAGTAACTCACTTAAACTCAAAACAAGGGAATAATGTATGTACTATTTTTATTCCCATTTGTAGCTGAAGAAATTAAGGCACAGAGAAGTCACACAACTAGTAAGTTGACTAGCCTGTGTTTAAACACAAGTAGCCTGGCTTCAGAGTCTGCCCACTTAAGCATCTAAGTACGAAACATCTAATGAAATGACACTCTGTGAAGAAATCTTTTTATACAAATATATGTGGCTGTTTGGTCAGATAAATTTAGCTCTGTACCAATAACATCCACTAATAACAACATCAGAGGAAACTGTAGAAGTTTTTGGTCTACTTTATTACTGATAATAGTCAGTAATATTCATTGAACAGGCCACATTCATGTGTCATGGAGACCTTTCTAACAGTGTCCTAATTCTGTATGATCATATGAAATAAAATGTGTGAAAAAGAAATTTTGAGAGTAGTTGGATGACTTATGATGTTGTTGAAATTATTTTTCTTCAGAGAAAGAAGAGGAACTAAAACTATTAAGTTGGAAGCTGTAATTGATTCCCTAAATACTTCATTTATTGCAAAATCCATACATGACTACCACATTTTGAGTATTTACAGCAACTGAATAGCTGTTCCATCAAATGTATTAACAGTTCATTAATATTTACTGAGCATACACACATTGTTCACAGGGCACTTCCCACTATGATTCTGGAAAAATGTTAGATAAGGGTTTCATTGTGGCATATTTGTATACCTCATTAATTAATATGCATGTTGCAAAGGACAGTAATATGGATCTAAGCTTTGGATTCATAATTGGGTTCAGCAGCTGGCTTTGCTTTGATATACACAGATGTGTGAATCAAGGCAGTGGGTGAAAAATGTTAAAGTAGTCTTAATTATTAGAACAATTTTGCATAATTGTTGCTCACTTGTGCAATAGGATTATGTAAATGTCATTAAATTTATTGTTAAGGTTTATATTTTGTTTTAATGGCTCTCGTTTCCTTCTATTTCAGACCGGTATGTCATAGTCGGCAGCCACCATCATACCGCATACAGTTATAATGGACAAGAATGGGCCAGTAGCACTGCCATTATCACAGCTTTCATCCGGGCCTTGATGTTAAGAGTTAAGAGAGGATGGAGACCAGACCGCACTATTGTTTTCTGTTCGTGGGGAGGAACAACTTTTGGCAATATTGGCTCATACGAATGGGGAGAGGTAAATGTGTATTAGTTACTATACTTTCTCTCTCTCTCTTTTTTTTTTTTTGACTAAAGTTGACAAAGTAACATTGTTGAAGCCAGGGACAAGAATGTGCATCTTAACCAGGGTGTCATATCTGTTAATTTGCTGAGATCACTCACAAGAGTGAAGGGGAATTAGAATCAGAACGTAGGGAATTGTGTATGACCTGCAACTATCTTATTCTTGTTGCTACCTACAGACTCTGATATACCCACAATAGTGCTTACCTAGTTATTGCGTTTCTCCTTAGGCAGATTGACAGGCATGGGACAAGAAAGGATCAGGTGATACATTACTTTTCTTTCTTTAAACCTTCTAGCAATTATCTGGAATTAGGAAACAATCTCCTATGTTAAATGTTTGTTACCTTAGCATTATACCTCAGCTCTACAATACAGAGACTGGACTCAAAATTGCAGGTTCCTCCCTCCCCCACTCCTTCCTCCCTCCACTTTTGCTCCCCTAGGCCCCTGCTCCTTCTTTCCTATCTATGTATCTCTCTACTTATCTACCTGCTTACCTATATAACTACCTTAGGAAGGCTTTGTTCAAATGAAATCTAGCGTGCAGTGGGTCGTGGTTAGGAAACAGCTGGAGTATACAAGTTTCAATGCTTTCCGTATGTCTGTGTCTCACAGATGCGCTGTATTTTTAATGGAATATGACAACTGATAATTGGATTAGTGCCATTTTAACAACAATGAAAACATTGTAAAACTCTTACATATTCTATTCACTCTTATGATTTTTTGGAGAGTTTCAGTGGAAATTTATAAGAAAAAGACCTAAACAATTTTAGCTACGAAAGTAAAACCATTTGATAGTCCAGTTTGTTTACTACCACAGCTTTGGAGAAAAAAAGTCTTAAATGTCTAATAGGAAATTCTCTTGTTTTGCTTTTTACTGAAGCACTCAAAAAAACAAAAGATAAAATGTCTATTGAATATCAAATAAAGTATCAGAAATATACACAAAAGAAAATAGCAGTGTCTTTTTAATTTGAAAGAAAGAAAAGTCTTAAAAATGAGAAGTTTTATAGCATGACATGTATCAAGATTCACACATTGCAAAGTGGAATGCTTTTCCATATGCAAATTAATGGTGTGAATGCTTGTTCCGTATTCAAAAGAACTAATGAAATGAAGAAATTCCATTGCTGAAAGAACCTTTTTAAATTGACAAATTTTTAGTAAAACGGAAAATGTAATAGCTAAACCAAGCTTTCAAACTTCTATTCCAAATTTACTTACTTTAAAGATATAAACAAATTAAAAAACAATTTGAGGAATCTATTTGTGATCTGGGCTGATTTAATAATTTAGAATTTTTTTATCACGAAGAATACAATGCTTTGGTTTTCTTGTAACAATAAGGCACATTTTAAGAAAATGTCGAAGATTCTTTTCAAATTCCAAAAATTTATTCCACTATACCATACAGCCTTCTTGATATCTATCTAGTAACTTTCACAATCAATTTATGTTAGTCTTAAATTAACACGTATATTTCTAAGCTATTTTCGCAAAGTAAGCTTATCTACCATTAGTAGTTCCTAACTTAAATATCCTGAGCCCCTGCGTGTGAGGAAGTTTATGGCAAAGAATCCTTGAATTTATTCGAACATCAAGCATCATAGCCTGTAAGTTGAATCAATAATGTAGCCTTGCATGTAGGTGAGCAATTATATTTTCAAATTAAGTAGATATTTTTGTTGTTAATAAAATACAAATTTGTTTTTGTTTTACTGACTTCATTGTATCTTTTGGTAATTTTATATTTTCTCAATCAACAGATACTAAAAATACAACTACTATAATGTGGGAGTTTATAGGAAAAAAATGTTTATGTTAGAAAAGGATCTTCCTATTCAAAGAGGTTAGGGACCTCTGTCCTAGAATATTTATGTATGTACACATGTTTGGCAACTAATTATACATTCAGTCACTTTCTGGCTTTTTCCATGACCAGGTAGGTAAAGATATATAAGTAAAGAAAATGATGACTAATATATAGCTTTGACTATTGGCTTATAAAATGTACCATTGTAAACTACTGTATCTCAGAAGATTTTTTCAATACAGTTCATGAAATAATTTTTTTAACTATCTGAGAAGGAATGTAGAAAACTAGTAGTTTCAGTTTTGTCCACTCTTATCAAATGTACTCCTTCTGAGAATGAAACATTTTCTTTTAGACTGAAGCCAGTTTCTGCTCTAAATATATTCCCTAGTGAAGTGAGGAGAGCACTGGTTGACATGTCATACTGCCCTATTTAATTTTGGTTGCACAGGAGCCCCTGGAAACCCACAGGTATAATTAAAAGGGTTAGGTGATATTGGTAAATAAAGTTAAAAATGGAATTTGTAGTGATAGAGTTATTGGAGAATTGACTCAATAAGGATCTTGATCCTCGAGGAAAATTATTACATTTTACTAAACAGGTTCCTTAAAAAGTATCATTTCTTCTGTGAAGAATCTTCATTTTTCACAGGCTGTTGTGGAAATAGTACAGATTTTATTGTCAAAGAAGTCTGTAAAACATGTGGTCTCAGGCAAGATTAACTTCCCCAAGACTCGATTCCTCAAATGAGTGTTGCATATGTCATGAGGTTCTTGTGAGAATTACATGGACTAACATATAGACAGTGTCAATGCGGTATGTGCACATAGGAGCTGTTTTTCCATAGTGCTTGTATAACAATGGATATTTTTTAAACAATATTATGTGTAAAGCAGAGTACTTAACCTTAAGTTCATCGTTTCTGCTCATTAAAATATTTAACTTTGAAGAAATTGTCTTTTCACCTATCTTATAGAGGTATAGCTGAATTTTCACCTTAAAATAGGAGTAACATTATTGATTTGCTAGGTACATAAGTCCTTGCAGTCTTTCATCTGATAGGGTTGGAATAAGAAAGATTTCCAAACAATTGTCACCATGACAATTATTCATTAAATGTTTATGCAAAAATGGAGGAAAATTACAGAAGGACTTCTTAGTGGTACTCGATTAATAGGATCGGTCATCTTTAATTTTCAGGGATAGGGTTCAGCAGAGAAGTGGAAAAACTCTTCTACTGAATCATTTTATGCTACTAATATGGGTGAAATGCACCAGGTTTTATTTCAGGTGATATGTGCAGGGACACGATTGTATTGTGTCCCATTTTGCTCAGAAAAAAGAGCCTCTTTGTGCAAAAAGTAGCTCATTGCCTCAAAGGAAAGGGTTGGTTCCCTTAATCATGGAAATAGTTTACCCATGTCTGTTCTCTAATTCTATGACTATAAAATTAACTGCTGTCGCTGGTGCAAATATTCCATTCTGTATTGTGACACCGAATCTTATGCCCTGTTAATCACTTAAGGACATTTTCTCTTAAAACTTAACTTTTGTCAGGAACATGCTTTAAAATATTTTATCATATGTTATATGTAACTCCTCATGACCTTTATTTAAAATCCTTTTACGACCTTTGTGTATTCTATTAAATGGTATGAGATCGCTTTTTTTTTTTCCCCCACAAGTTTTCGGCTGAAGGCGCCCTATTTTATTTTATTTTATTTTTAATTTTTTAATTTAACTTTTTTTTTAAAGATTGGCACCTGAGCTAACAACTGTTGCCAATCTTTTTTTTTTTTTTTTCTGCTTTATCTCCCCAAACTTCCCAGTACATAGTTGTATATCTTAGTTGCGGGTCCTTCTAGCTGTGGGATGTGGGATGCTGTCTTAGCATGGCCTGACGAGCAGTGCCATGTCCGCACCCAGGATCCGAACCCTGGGCTGCAGTAGCGGAACGTACAAACTTAACCACTCGGCCATGGAGCCGCCCCGAGATCACTTTTTTTAAAAAAAGTGCTTGTGTAATATAATACTTTTAAGTAGGAAGTGTTTATTATTCAACATGTAACTGACAAAATAGAATCTGTTATTTTTGTTTACGTTAAAGATGGATTATTTTTGGATTTCAGGAATTCAAGAAGGTTCTGCAGAGAAATGTTGTAGCTTATGTTAGCCTCCATAGTCCCATAAGGGGTAACTCGAGTCTGTATTCTGTATCTTCGCCATCTCTTCAGCAACTGGTAGCAGAGGTAAGATGAACCAATTTTTTGTAAAATTATTATGTAAAACTGCCTTTTATGCTATAATTTGGCATTTCATAATTTTTCGTTTCTTATTTAATTTGCATAAAAACCATTCACAAGTGTTTTAAAGAATAATCCATTGCTGATTTTTTTATCAATATCCCTTCAACTAATTTCTTATGTTCTGAAATTCTTCACTTGCTGCTCTGTCATGATGATAATTGTAGGTGTGAGTTATACAGTGATAGAGAACATAAGTAAAAATGTAAATTTATTTCTTAAAAATTGAATTTAGCTCTCAAGTGTCTAGTTCTGCTAATCTTGACATTTTGTGGTAAACTTGGCTACTTTTGGATTTCTCTCCCCTCATTCATGGTTTGGGTAACTTTGGGACCTGTCTTATCTTTTTGACTACATTGTAAGCCCCCTGAGAGCAGGATCTCTGTCTAATTCCTTCAATATAGTGAGAACTAAATTCAAGATATTTAGAAAATATTGTTTGAAAAATATTTATGGAAAAGGAAAGCGTGCATTTTCCTACAGAGTAATTTGAAGAAAATCATGCAGTTTGTGATAATGTCTCATTAGAGTTACATATTTTTTTTAAATTTAGTCACTTCTCACCTGTTTCAAAGAATTTTTCAGAACATCCTTCTTGTTTATTAGTAGAGATCACGCTTTTATTTCTGTGTTCTTTTTGTGACTTTCACTACAGAGAAAATGCTATGTGTTATTTCTCAGAATGAGAGCAATGATGCCAGCGCTGGAGGGTGGTTTCCTCCAAACCGCAAGGGCTAGTGGTGTATTTTAGAAATGACCTTTTAGATGCTCACAGAGTTTCCAGTAAGTATCACAGAAACCAAACTAGAAAAAGAAAGAGATAATGAACACCACTTTAGATTAGCCATAATTCTTGATTGAAATGTAATGCAAACTAACATTTTATGACTTTCATAAAGTATTTTCTAGTTTAATAGTTTTCATTGACATTTCCATACATAGTGTAATAAAGAAGACATTATGAAAGATGAAATGGATAAATCTGTACATTTTAGATCAGCAAAATCCCAACGTGCGTGCCCTAAATTATATCTAGCTCTGGAAGTGAATTCTTCCTGCTCTTTGTGCTACTGTGAATTCTCTCTCTTACCTGCCTGGGAAAAAACTCAAAAGAGGAAAATCAGCTGCAAATGTCTCCCTTTGGAAATTAAGATATTTTTGAATGAGTGGGTGATCGGGAAGAAGAAAGTACAAGATCAAATATCCAGAAATTGAGGAAGGTTAGCTTAAAATTATGTCTTTTCCTCCTCGTGTGTTGCAGTTTTCTTATTTAGAGAATCTTAGAAGACGTATAATCATTGAAAAATGCAGATAAATAAACTATCGAGTATCAAATTGATACAAACAGCTATAGAAATATCAAATCTATGGAAGTATCTGAGAATATAATGCTATTTAAAATGTCTTTGAACATCTTGTAACAGAGGACTGTGATATGTTATACCTAAACCTAATTATCTGAAGTACAGCATGGTTTCTTAATAACGAATAGTGACATGGAAAATGTAGCTACTTATTCACTTGGGAGGAAACTTTTTTGTTCTATAGTTGAAAATGTTTATATACTGGGCGTGACCTGGTATCATAGTGATTTGCTCACTCTGCTTCACAGCCCAGGGTTCACGAGATTGGATCCTGGGCATGGACCTGCACACTGCCCATCAAGTCATGTTTGGTGGTGACCCACAGAGAAAATAGAGGAAGGTTGGCACAGATGTCAGCTCAGGGCCAATCTTCCTCACCAAAAAATAAGCAAATAAATAAATAAATAAAAAATAAAATGTTTGCATACTAATCTAAGAATGAACTAGGATCTGTATTGAAAGAAAATTCTTTCAGTTGAGATTTTTGTGTTTGTGTGTGTGTGTGTGTTCTATAGGCCAATTTAGAAGGGTAGGATTATCACAAGTTCAAACAAACAATAGCATACGGAATTTTTAAAAATGGGAATTACTTATCCATGCATATTAAATTTTATAGGGTATATTTGCATACCAAAATTTAATATCGCATATTTTTCTTTAAAATATATGAACACTTTAAAAATATAATAGTTGAGAGAACTGGAGGAAACAAAACCCCACAGTAATTTATGTGGCTTCATCAAAATAATTTAACACAGGCAGCATTTAAAAGAAAGATTTAAAATGTTTATTTCAAAGAAAGAACTTAATTATAACATCAAGATATATGTAACTTCTCTTACAAAGACAAAGATATTTTATCTGTCTTCAGTATCTTTATATTTCATCATTTTATTTAGATTCTGTTACTGGATACAAATCATGTTCCATATAATCCAGTATAAACCGAAAAAAAAAACAAATTCAGAATTATTTTTCTACATAGAACAATATTTTCTAAAGGAAAGGTTTCTGACTAATTGCAGATGGCATAAGGCTGTAAGAAATATCAGTTACTCCTGTATAGCAATATGCAGATTCCAAAAGATCTTGCTAAGTTCATGTGGCGGACTTAAACATATCAGATGGAATCTTTAAAGAACTAACATACTGTACTGCATTTATTTTAAAAAACTGAACGCATACAGGATATTTTAATGGATTACAAGCTTGATTAAAAAAAAAGTGAAATGATTGCCCTAAATATGTACCAGTTCAGACTTCATTATTAGTGTGTTGCCCCAATCAAGGAAGAGGGTTGTCTCACTGTACTTCGTCCATTTGACCTTGGAATGCTATTCTTTTTATTTAAGTTAGACTTATTGGATGAATTGAGATATAATTTACATACGGTAAAATTCTCCCTTCTTAAGTGTACAGCTTGATTAATGTTGACAAATGTATACAATCATGTAAACACAGTCACAGTCAAGATATATAGTATTTCCATCACGCAGAAAAGTCCCATCATGCCCCTTTGCTTTCAGTCTGCTCCCTTCATCCCTAGTTCCTGGCAAATACTGATCTGATTTTTGCCCTTATAGATTTGTCTTTCATAATATCATTAAAAAAATGGAATTATGCAATATATAGCCCTTTGTGTGTGGCTTCTTTTACTCAGCATAGTAACTGTTTGTTTCACTTGTGTTGTTGTATATGTCAGGAGTTTAGCAACATCTTCTAGACTGCTAAGAAAACAGTTAATTGTGACTGAGACAAGTGCAATACATTTGGAGCTCTTCCTCCAGTTCAACGTTCTCACTGTGATTTTGAAATGAAGAGAAATTAAACCATTGACATTAAAAAACTTGACATTAAGAAAAGAAGCCATTTCCCTGAGGTTAGTCCACTGAATTTGAACTAAGTCATCCTGAGTGGGGAGGATGGAATCTTTTGAAGATTCAGAAATGTTTAATGAATCTGAATCTGCTACTAATGATTATAGGTTTTTCTTGGAATTCATGAAAGATTGACCTTAAAAAAATTGCTTGGAGAATAGTGAAATGTTGATGGTCACCAAAGCTACACAATAGGAACATGAGAGTTCATTGTACTGTTCTCTCTTCTTTTGGATTTGTTTGGAAATTTTCATTATAACTTGAAAACAAAATCTAAAAAATTACTATTTTTCCAAGTTATAACACTGATAGCTAATAAATTACTTTGTCTTCTGGTGGTAGCAATAGTTTACCAATGACTTACTCATTGAATGGTAAGTAAGGGGCAAGAACCAAGGCTTTTATATGCTTGATATTTTTCTAGTACTTCTCTTACTATTTTTTTGTTTTCTTTTTAAGGATTGACCCTGAGCTAACATCTGTTGCCAGTCATTTTTCTTTCTTCTTCTTCTCCCCACAGCTCCACAGGACATAGTTGTATAGTCTAGTTGCAGGTCCTTCTGGTTGTGCTATGTGGGACGCCTCCTCAGCGTGGCTTGATAAGCAGTGCTAGGTCCTTGCCCAGGATGCAAACTGATGAAACCCTGGGCTGCTGAAGTGGAGTGTGGGAGCGTAACTACCTGGCCACAGGGCCGGCCCCAATTCTGTCATTATTTTGAATATGCTTTTCTGCTCCCTTTGTGCTACCACTAATTTTACAAAAATAAAAATAATTCGTTCTTTTAAAATTAGCTTATAAGTTTTTAGAATTAAAAACTATCAACTAAAAAACTACAAAATAAATATTAATGTGTGTAAAAAAAGTCCCCCAAACATTTAGGAAATAAATATATATTTTAAAATTATAAATTTCCTCCCTCTTTTCTTTGAGAAAATATAAACTTCATATTAGTATTTTACTTTATATTTACATTTCTTTCTATGAAAGCTACAGTGAAATAACTTTTTAAAATCTTTTTTATAATGGTAATGCTAATATGTGCATTATAGACACCAAAAATTATGTCAATTGTATAAAACAGAATTTTTGACAAAATCCAGTAAAGTACTTAAAATTAGCTTTTTAGTTAAAAAATCTCATCTATGTGGTACCTTAAGAGATTCAGGTATGCATTTCCTAATTTTTATTCTATGATTGGTGGTCATTTGGGTTTGCATGATTGTGTCTCATTTTTAGCTAAATTGAATGTAGTTGTAATGATTATTTTTGTGTGTTGGTACAATTGATGCACTCACTTTTCTTGAGTATTTATCTAGAAGTGGAATTTCCAGGTCATAGGGTAGGCACATATTTAACCTTAGTAGATACTGCCAAAGAGTTTTCCGAAGTGCTTACACTACCACCAGCAATGTGTGAATGTCCCGCTTGTTCCAGGTCATCACTAACATCTGGTACTATCATTCCCATGGGTATATGGTGATATATTTTTGGATTTTAATTTGAATTTTTATATGATGATTAATAATGTTTAGCACCTTCTCACATGCTCACATACATGTGAGTTATTTGGAAATCTTCTCTGAAGGCTTATTTGAGTCTTTTGCCTATTTTAAAAAGTTGTTTGTCTTTTTCTTACTAATCTCTAAGAGTTCTTCATATGTTCTTGATGCAAGTCTTTTGTTGGTTATACATTGCTAGTTCTTC